TCTAATATTTCTATACATATTTATAAATAAATCATTAACAGATTCATCTCTCATACAAATGAATTCATCCGTAGTCACACAAACTGGACGCACACCGTCAAAATGTTCAGTATCGTATGCGATGTTCAATTGTTTCACTTCGCGTAAAATTTCTCTCAGACACGCGCACTGCCACGGATTGTTACCAAACGAAATATATGTCAAATATAATTTTGTAGACATTTTTAATAATTGATTTTCATATAAGAAAGTGATATTATTATTTGAAAAATTGAATGTATGTAAGGCGCTACTATCGAATGCTCTTTGTGGAATATTTCTTAAGAAATTATTAGAGATATCAAGATGTCTTAAATTGTAAATATTTCTTTGAAACATATCATGAGTTATATATCTTAATCTGTTATTACTTAAATCAAGTGTTTTCAGATCTGTTAGTTTTGAAAATGCACGTATATGAATGTATTCAAGAAGATTATTTGACATATTAAATACTTGGACTGCAATCAAATTATCAAACGACCAAGATTTACTTATAGATGTTATTTCATTCTGTGATATATCCAAATCGAGTAACGTCCTCATATTTGAGTTGAATAGAACATTTGGAAACTCTTTAATATAACATTTTCTCATAATCAATAAAGTCAACTTTGTTGTTTTTGTTAAAAAATTAACTCTAGACATATTATTTCCTGATAAATTTAACTGTATTAAATCGGGTAATACATTGTAATCTAAATTATCACCAATTAGATAATTATCAGTCAAATCTAATTGGAATAAATAAGGAAATATGTTTATTACATTTGACTTTATAGTTTTTAAATAATTACCATTTAAATATAATTTCTTTAGTTCGGTATTATTAAATATACCAGCAGGTAAATCTGTCAGTAAGTTATGTGACAAATTTAATTCATTCAAACGTGTATTCATTTCGAACAACCCTAATGATAAATTTGTCAATTTATTTACCGATAAATCGAGTATCCTAAAAAACCTTACTGTACGGAACGCATCCAATTCTATATTTGATATTTGGCAACCTTTTAAAACTATTTGAACAACATCTTGTTTCTTATATAAATCCTCTTCTGTTAATACATTGTTATTTTCTGTTGAGGTACATGATAAATATGTCCAAAGACTATCTTCATAGTAACAGGACATTTTGGCATTTGTTGTAACAAATAGAGATGTCCATATTACAATTGACAGTATTAGTATATTCATATTAATCTGAAAAGAAAAGGAAACATTGTAAATGTTATGCGACAATTTGTTTTATAAGAGAAGGGGGCAAACGAGCAGCGGGAACACCAATGTGTTCAACGACGCCCATGGACATCAGCAATACCAGAGGAACCGCAGATGCATTGCCGGCCTTTAAGATAATGATACGCTTACCATCTCAAAGGCATTGCATTAGTCAAGATTTTGCAAAATATTAATTACATTTTGAAATCTTACTAATCTTGCTAATATTATAAATGCGAATATTTAGATGAACGGATCTTGATGAAACTTGGCATAGATGTATAACATAGTCTGGAAGAACACATAGCCTACTAATGATGTTTCTTTTTAATTCCACGCGGACGGTGTCGCGGGCGAAAGCTAGTAGTTCTATAAATTAAAAAAATAGTCTAACTGCCTTGCATGTACACACTGGTGAAGAATACACATCGAATCATACCATATCATATAATCAAAAAATTACCCTTCTATCACCAGGGTAAAAATGTCTAGCAAAAATAATCTAAACATTATCAGTCTCTCCTTTTCCCTACGGAGAGTCAGGATTGTATATACGACTCTTTATTACATCTCTATCAGCCATCATATCTGAATTATCTGTCTTACGCATATCCTCTTTAACACAATCCATCCACACTTTCTTCTGACTTCCCCTGACATTCACAATCACATCACTTTCTTAAGCTTGTATATAATATAAAAATTTACCTTGATCTTTTTTTAAATTCGTAATGTCTTGAAATTATAGCTTTGTATTCTCAGATGATAAATTCAACTTAAATTTTAATTTGTTTAAAAAATATTTTTTAAAACTATTAAATGAGAGTGACCAATTTTATCATTCTTTGAAACTACACTAATCCAAATGTAATTATTAGGATTAAACAGAGTTATGAGTAACGATAATACTATTATTTAAATATAACAGATTGCCGTATTATATTTCGGACAAACAGGATTGATAAAACTATGATTAAAATTGAATGGCCCGAAATCAATTATTTTAAAGCGGTATCAAAACATCGCTGTGGTTGGATACTATGACAATTTATTTGAAATTATAAATATGAAGAAAGATTTACATGTATTGATTTGAAAGGAATCATGGTTAAAGATACTAAGGAAAAGTTCGGATCGACTGAATCGAACGAATTAAATGAACGAGATCGTCTGAAATGACGGAATCTATTATAGATCGGAGCGATTGAAACGACCGAGGTGAATGAACTGTATCTGGTGCAACCTCAGTAGGATAGAGACAGCAAGATGATGATGATGATGATGAAGAATTATTTTTGATGATATTCTTTAGTTTAACTTGCTATATAAAGCTTCATGCGACAGTTTTGCATTAGCATTTTAGTGACACTGTTATCCCATAGAACAGGTCACAGCATTTACTAATGGAGATTCACTGTGGACTTTAATAAATATAGAAGGGACATAATTGTCCTTTTCTATTATTAATTTAGATAGTTGATTAAAAATGGATTGTATAATTTTTGTTCTATTTGCCGAACTATGCCAGAAGTCGGTCTGTTTTTTTTTTAATTTCTTAAGAATGTGTACAGTAAACCAGCCATTAGATCAAGTGAATTATTTGGTCAGTCATTTAGTGGTGACTAAAAGAATTTTTTTCAATAGGGAAGAATGGTAAAAAATTAAAAAAAAATCTAAAACCTTTGATACCAATTGTAATGTACTCAATTATAAAAAAGAGTTATGTTTAAATATATTGACCTGTCTATTATTTGTAGGTCTCTAGCAGTAAAATACATTCCTAAGGTGAAATGCGCTGCACTGGAAGTTTTAAACTACAATAATGATTCATAGCGCTGGGAAAGTTTAATTCAGTGACATTGCATCGTATCCATTCCTCGGTTAGACAACTGCAATGGAATACAGTTTTTAACTTGTCATTGATTAAAAAAAGGAACGAAAATCCCAACTTCTATGACAATCTGAAGAGGGAAACGAACTTCCATCTCAAACATATTTTACTTAATTTTAATGAACGAAAACTTTCTACACGTTTTAAAGAACACAAATCACCTTTTTAAGACACATTTATAATTAATCTACAATAAAAAAACAGTATGAATAATGTTCGAATTTCGAATAAATGGGTAAGAGAAATTGCTTCGAATTTACTCTTATCATTTTTAGGTGGGATTTCACCAATCAAGGTGACATAAGTACAACTTTTATAACTAATCAAGCTATAACCCGCGACTCCGTCCGCTCGGTATTAAAAAAAAAACTTAATAAGTAACCTTTGTGTTCTAGACTATGTTCTACATCTATGCCAAATTTTAGAGAGATGCAGCCGTTTCTGACATACCTTCAAACAAACATCCATCCATCTATCCATCTTAACATTCGCATTTATAATATTAGTATAAAGTATGACTAGCTGTTTGCTTAGACTCCATCTGTGTGCAATTAATAATATAGTATATATAGACTATGTGTTCTTCAAGACTATGTTCTACATCTATGCCAAATTTGAGAGATATCCAAGCAATCGTTCTGGAGATAACTTCTAACAAACATTCATCCAAATTTTCGCATTTATAATATTAGTATAATAAGTATTATGCCCTTGTTATAAACAATCAAACAGAAGAAATATCAGGGTATATAAATTCACACGTCAGATAATATTCTTAATCGTGCCGCTATCGATAATTACGTGAGACTAAACATTTATTGCTCGTGATAACATTGCCAGTCTTCTTATCGACATCGAGTAAAGTACTATTTTGATAAATAACACATTTAAATGTGTCAACAAATATAAAATAATCTTCTTATAATCTTACTAATAACATAAATGCGAAAATTTAGATGGATTTATGTTAGAAGATGGCTGAATTTATGAAATTTAGCACAGATGTAAAACATAGTCTGGAAGAACACATAGGCTACTTATTAAGATTTTCAATTACGCGCGGACGGATTTGCGGGCTCCAACTAGTATGCTATTTAAGCATACAAGCAATCATTTAAAACGCCATCTCTGAGAATACTAATCATAACCCTGGGGATAAGAAATTTCAGTGGGTTATTAGTGTGAAAATTCACTAAGGAAGATTTTAAGCCTAGCTAGTCGTTGGAGGGTGGCGGTTGTGTTCCGAACGGAGAACCCGCTTCCCCCTCGTTAGCGCCGGTGGCGACCGCCGTGGGGTTTTAGTCGGTGCATACCCGACATAACCACCTTTGTCCCAGCAATGATAGTATGCGTAAGGCACCCCACTTTAAAAAAAGGAGCATTTTTATAGTACCATGGTAAACTAACGGCCACATGACATCCTCAAACTAGTGAAGTGACCGCTATCTATAAGCATATGCAATATTTTAGAAGACAGAAATACTGTAAAGGAAGATATCTTTTGAAGAAACGAAGAAATTATGATTAGGAAACAGATGTATATCTTTTTCTTCACATCCCTTTAATATTCAAATCTACTTTATCTTTCCATACTTTCTTTAATGTTAAACATATCTATATAAAAATTGATATACAATAAAGTTTTATTTTTACTGATTACTGGTACAAATATGTGCAATAAAGGTCATGTATTTTGGTGAGGATTAAACAATGATCTAAGTGTAATTAAACCTTATTACTATTGATTACCGATAACTTTATCTTCATCCATAGGAGATCCTGATAAGATATTATTTAATGTTTATTATATGTTTGTAAAAAATGTCTAATCAGTTTAGTTCTTGGCAGTGACATGATGAATATTAGCACGTTATTTTTGGCAATATTCAGGTAAATATAAAATAATAATAAGTTAAAAAATTTAAATGTTGTTAGTAGTAGGTTTTTCCCGAAAGTTCGAATAACGAAACTAAATTGTCGTTATACAAACTTTCAAGAGACATCATCATAAACTTATATAAAAACGGTTAAAACACGTATGTTCGTCCGGTGGCAGCACCGACTAGTTTCGTGCCCATCGGGGCCCTTCATCAGAGTGAGTGGGTCTGGTATTATTTTGTCTTTTCTACAAATGAAACTTGAGATGTAAATAGTCATGTAAGTTATAGAATCTTCACATATCTGAGAAGAACTTCAAAAGAAGTGAAGTCAAACCAATCCCCAACAGGCTAATGGAACAGGCTATAGACTGATCACTCCTCGCTCAAAACTTTCGGACCTACATCGTGAGCTTGATATTTATTTGGGGCTTAAATAATAAAATTTTCTTTTCAAGTCTCTTTGCTGGCTATGGAGAATGCGGCAAAGGAAGAATGCAATATGCTTCAAAAACATTTCCACCGGATTTTAAATTCGGCGTATCAACTGCGGCTTATCAAATAGAAGGTGGTTGGAATGCTGACGGTATGTGAAAATTTAAACGAATCTAATTATAGAAATTCATTCTCGGTCCTTAAAAAATTAATCCCAAAATTATATTTATAAAAAAAATCATTCGAACGCCTCATAAATAACACGCGATGTCTAGATCGATTAAACTTTAACCAAATATTATTATTGATTTTGGGCTTGAGAGTTGTGGTAAAAATTGCGATAATACTAATTGTGTAATGTAATTAATTCTTTATTAGGTAAAGGATGGTCGATGTGGGATCATTTAGTTCGTACTGATCCTGAATTTATAGCTGACAATACTAATGGTGATGTTGCTGCCAATTCATATTATTTTTATAAAAAAGATGTTGAAATACTTAAAGAATTAGGCGTTGATATGTATAGATTTTCTATATCATGGCCGAGAATATTACCGTACGGTCGAGCGGATTATATAAATCCATATGGCATCGCATATTACAATGCGCTGATTGATGAGTTATTAGCTAATGGAATAACACCGTTCGTAACGATGTATCATTGGGATCTGCCGCAAAATTTAAACGAGCAAGGCGGTTGGTTGAATGAAGGATTAGTAGATATATTTGGTGATTACGCAAGAGTCCTGTACCAACATTTTGGAGATCGTGTCAAACATTGGTTGACAATTAACGAACCTTATGTTCATTGTTATCAAGGATTTGTTACTCTTCGTCATGCTCCTAGAGTAAATATGCCAGCGACAGGTTTTTACGAATGCGGTAGACATTTATTGTTGGCTCATGCGAAGGCATATCATATTTATCAGGAAGAATTTAAATCGCAAGGTGGACAAGTTGGGATAGTTTTGAGTATGGATTGGGCATATCCTGATAGTGATTCAGCTGATGATGCAGAAGCGGTTTTGGATTATTTCGCTTCCCATGTAAGTTGTAACTCAAATATAAATTGCGTTTGTACCGAGGAGTAACTCGATATGAGAAGTACAAGGGCAATAACTGAAGACTTTGTATAGAATTTCAGTCTCAAGACATTATTATAATAATAAAAAAAAACTTAATTATTATTATGTAAATAATAAGAGTACAAAATGTGCCAGAAATTTAACTTAAATGTTTTACCGCATTATGCTGTTTAGTTACAATTTTCGCTTAGTGGAAATTAACTTTTTTTATTTTAATGATTGCGTTCTAACGAAGTAACACTGAAGATGTTAAAACAATTTTATTTCCTCATATACAGATGGGAATATTTGCCAATCCGATATTCACAAGCGAGGGCAACTACCCTCAACGTTTGATCGATCGCGTTGCCAATATTAGTAGCAGTCAAGGATTCCAATATTCTAGACTCCGTCCATTCAGTCAGGAACAAATAGAATATATGAGAGGAACTTCAGACTTCTTAGCTTTGAATCATTACACCAGTGATATTGTGTATAGAAACGCTTCAGTTGTAGGAATGTATGAAGTACCTTCCTTCAATGATGATACTGGATTTGCAACATACAAAGATCCAAATTGGCCTGTTAGTGCCAGTGCATGGTTACGGGTATGTATATGTAATATTATTATTGCGATTGTTAGGATGTGTGGGTGGTATCCCCGAGAGGGAGCTGCCTCGGCAGCTGGCGCAGATGGGGCCGCGGACGAGAGCGAAAGCTTGCCAGGTTTAGTGGGTATCCCTCCGCTATGGAGGAGAATCCCACAAAACTACCGCGTCCCCCCTGGGGCGCGGAGTATGCATAAAGCATTCCTCTCTAGAAAAAAAAAGGATGTGTGGGTGGATGTTTGTTAGAAGGTATCTTCAGAACTGCTGCATATGTTTCTCTGAAATTAGCCATAGTATAAGTAGAACATAGTTTCCGTTTAAGAGTCGCAGGCAACGGCAAGTTAGTATAACAATATTAAAGAAAACTTTACGTGTTTTACAGTATGTTCTTATTAATAATATTACCTTGATAAATGATGAAATTTTTTATCTAAGTGTTTTCGACGTTTTTATTTAAAATTTTCAACAGCCAGTACCAAGCTTTAGAATTCTCTTGGTACTCGATTGTAAACGTTGGATCACCTAACATTAAATTCAGTCTTCAAACTAAGGTTATTATGGAGTTCAATTTATGACAAAATACCTAACAGCATACCTTGTGCAAATCTGTTTTTAATGTGAAAAATAACTTTATACATATTTACATTTTTTATTCATTAACTTATCTCATATATTTCCAGGAACACGCGCAAGGATTTTATAATCTTCTAGTGTACATAAAGGATACATACAACAATCCTACAATTTACGTAACAGAGAATGGTTTTTCGACCACCACTGGATTGAACGACAACGGCAGGGTTCAGTATATCAGGAATTATTTAAATGCTTTATTAGACGCCGTAGCTGAGGGTGTTGATGTCCGAGGATACAGTGCTTGGAGTTTAATGGATAACTTTGAATGGGCAATGGGTTATACGTAAGTAGAAGAATCTTTATATTTCTAGAAACATACTAAAGATGCGATCGGTTATGTAATAGATTTTCTTACGGTAACATTGAAAGGAAAATATGCGAAGAAATTCAATGATTTGTGATAAAATAACCCGCGTACTGGCCCAGAATAGATGACTAAAGACTACGTCTTAGTCAACCATACTGCTAACATAGATTAGGCTCTTCACTTGAGACGTATATGCCCTTAGCAGCTTGCTCTAACTGATAAGCGTATTATCGTTTCCATATGCATGTAGAAAAGTATGGGGATTTTGTCAATTATTACCTTATTCTTCCAACTTTTTTTAATATTGATAATTTAAATGATGATATATTTCCAGGCAAAGGTTCGGGCTTTACCAAATAGATATAAATGATCCCGAAAAGGAAAGAATTCCGAGAAAGTCTGCGCTGGTTTATAAAGAAATTATTAGCAGTAGATTTATTGACTTGGATTTCGATCCTAATCCTTACGAAGTTAGCGGTGCTGGCTATCTAAAGTCATGTGTTTTTGTAAGTATTGTAGCTTATTTATTAAATAATTTAATATAAATCATTCTTTTATTTTACAACATCCTGTATATCCTGAATTTTTTATTCATCATAATTAGACATTTTAGGAGTACTTTCATTTAGTACGAATCCATTTGGACTTCTTACGGGTGAAAATTTACATTTTAAACAATTAATAACTAGCTATAGCTCGCGACTATGTCAGCGCGGAATTAAAATAAGACGAAATTAGTGGCCTATATGTTCTTCCTGGTTATGTCCTACATCTATGCCAAATTTCAGCGAGATCCATGCAGCTGTTATGGAGATACAAACATACATCCGTGCATACATCCAAACATTCGCATTTATAATATTAATAAGAAATAAAATAAGGTATAGTTTATGTTAGTCGGAGACAATGTAGAATTCTAATTTTATTAAAAGCGTTCCAGTTATTTTTGCAGTCTATTCGTTACAAATGTACCATTTTTTTAACTTAAGAATAAATAAAAATTAACTCCTTTATTTAATTGCTACACGAACGTAATGTCGCAAACGAAAAAATACTACAATTCATTTAAACGAGGAAAGAAATAATTTTGATAAAGTAATATACAAAGAATATTTAAAATATTAAAGAGAGAATCAACAAACACTTTAGCGAGAAGCGCGGTGGAGCGTAATGGAATGTAAATTGGGCAAATATTTAATTCTGAGACATTGAAAATTCTTAAAGCTTACACATTTTATAATTATTGTAAATAGAAAAAAAAAACGTTGTGATTATTTAAAAAAAAAGATTATAAAAAACGTGTAAAATACATTAATGTAAATCATGATCAAAAGTAAAAACAATACTTTATTTCGCTAACAAAATATGATTTTTTCTAAAATAAAAAGTGAGAAATTGAAACAAATCTCAGTTATTGCCTTCGGTGATTTCCCAACGGACATAATTATTTTGCATTGCACTTGATTTTCTTTTTATAATCTAACTTTCTAAGCATCCATTTTTATATTACTTTCTAAGTCAAATCTTTTTGTATAAGTTCCTTTATTAACAGTTTTATATGAACCGACCTATTCATTAAGTATAATATAATAGCACGTGTATCGCTCATCAGCTCACTATACATCCCCACCGAAGGGCTCGGAACATATCCTATGTTAAAGGTGATAAGGCCATAGTCAACCACGCTGGCCAAATGCGGGTTGGTTGACTTCACACATATTTTGTAATTTCTTCTCAGATATGTGCAACGTAAGAACGTCGGATAATTGTATATATGTAAATCGAAAAACACATTGGTACATGACGGGATTCGAATCCAGGACCTACAGATTGAAAGCCAAGTGCTTGACCCCTGAGCCACCGACGCTCAGCACGTGTATACTACGTTTCAAATATTTATCATTATCTACGTAAAGCTTATCGTAACGTACCTTCCATTGTCTTTGGCAAAATAGAGAATATACGGAAAACTACAATGCTACAAAAATAAACAATAAAATCTTATTAATATTATAAATGCGAATGTTTACATGGATGGATGGATGTTTGTTAGAAGGTATCTCCGAAACGGCTCAACGGATTTCTGAGTAATCTGGAAAATATTTAGAACATAGTCTGGAAGAATAGCCTATTTATTGTTAAGCTCTTTTCCAATTCTGCGCGCAAGGAGTCGCGGGCAAAAGCAAGCAAATAATAAAACTACAATGCTATTAAAAACTACGAAACTAAAACTACTACTACTGTATATTATATACAAAAGACTACTATATATAAATACAAACGACACGACAGTAGAATTCAACGATGAAGTCACGAACTAATGTATACCAGGAGGTTGTTTGTAAAAGTAAACATATTTAAAGTAAATTTTGCTTTTAGTTTGGTCCATAGGCAAGCTATTTTAATTCACATTACGAGTACATTGGCATCAAATAAGCCACAACGTTACATTTGTGATATTACCTCTGATTAAAAGCCTCATTATGGGTGTTGTTTTAACTCGTATTGAATAAACAAAAGCCGTGGGATGCGCACTGATTGTTTTGTAAAGTGATTGCCTATCACAGCTCTATAAAGGTGAGTTTTCACTGCGAAAACAAATGTACAAAATCATTTAGTTATCTCTTTCCTTCAATTGCAAATATTAGAGATAACAATATGTTTTTATAAATTTGTTTTAGCAGTGAGAGTCCACGATAAGGTAAACAGTTTTAAATTTAATTGAAATATGATCTGTTATATGTCCGATTTGTTTTTAAAAAATAACAATTCTCATCAAACAATTTTTACATATTTGAAAAAGAAAAATACGGAATGATAATAAAAGTTGAATTTACTTTGCTCCGTTGACGCAAGTCGAAATTAGTGTTTGCAAGTTGCAAATAGCTTTTATAGCAGGAAGACAAATTGTTTCTGTCTTCGTTCTTCGGATGAATTTAAAGATGTTATTATAAACAGTCTTCACTGTTTTTAAATGTAACGAGAGTTTTCATTACATATTTATTTTGAAATCTTTTTAAAGAGAAAGTGAGATGACAATGTGTTTTTTATACGTGTTTCGGCAATGGAAATCCACAGCAAGACAGTATCAATAGGGAATGTAATGTCAAAAGAAATAAGAAAATATTTATAACGTAACTCCTATGTGTTCTTCCAGACTGTCTTCTATATGCATGTTAAATTTCATCAAGTTCCGTTCTGCCATTCAGGAGATACCTTCCAACAAACATCCATCCATCCATTCATCTATCTAAACATTCACATTTATAATATTAGTAATAAGTAAGATGAGGCAACATCAAAACTTAATGTGCAGATGAAATGTGCGTAAAGATTTAAGAACTAAGGAATTAATTATAATCCTATGTTTCAAAACGATTTGTGTATGGCTTTAGATGTCTAGAAATAAAATTTAGGCAACATATTGTCAGACTTTCTTTAATCTTTTAGCTTTTACGTTCAGTTTATTTTGTCAAATTGCACTTTGAAAAATGCATCCTTTCACATTGGCTGTTTGTAACATCTGCGCGCAATATTTCTTGTAATATTTGTAACAAGTTTTCTTTATTAAATTTATATAAAACTAGTGGCTACACGCGACTTCGTCAACGCAGAATAAAAAAAGGTTCTTGACAGACAGACGGACGGACAACAAATTGATGCTATAAGGGTTCCGTTTTTTTCCTTTCGAGGAACGGAACCCTAAAAAGTGGGCTAAGTTACTAATGCATACATCTGATACCTTCCTGTATTAAGCGGTCTAGTTACTTAGAACGAACATTTATTTTTACATTTTTACATTATTATATAATACTAGGTGTAACCCGTGACTCTATCCGTGCGGAATTAAAATAACTTAATTTGTAGCCTCCGTGTTCTCCCAGACTTTATCCTACATCTATGGCAAATTTCACTTAGATCCATCGAGCAGTTCATCCAGAACTGCTCGATGGATCCTTCAGTAACATCCATCCAACTAACCATCCAAATCTTCGCATTTATATTATAATATTAGTAAGATAGATGCGACTCAGGGAATCTGTAGCGTTCTAAAAAGGTAAAGAATGTTTGAAGTGAGTTAAGTATTTTTAAGTTTATTTCAAAAATACAAATCTTTCTCTTTATACAAAACTTAAAATTGATCAATAAATCAAGTTAAACTTTTAATACATGCAGCTAAAATAACTTTAGTTTGAAAATTACAATTTCTAATGTAAATTCAAACGATAACTTTAACGTTTTCCTTCAAATTCGAAATTTGAATTTCTATTTAGTAAGTTACAATCTGCACATTGAGGGGTTCCCCATTCTGAGCAGATTGTAGCTAAAACTTTGTTATACGAGTTCTAATAATATTTGCATGATATTCAAACTTTAAATTTCATATTGTTTAAAGAAATAGACAGGAAATTTGACTATTAATGATAGAACGATAAAAACAATTCGTTTAAGATCCGATTGACAATAAGATACTTTTAAGAAATATGACAATCACATTGGAAGTGACATAAATATATACCTAAACAACATTAACATATTTATTATAGTATCTTACTTCTTACTAATATTATAAATGTGAATGTATGGATGGATGGATGTTTGTTTGATGGTATCTCCAGAACGGCTGAACCTATCTCGATGAAATTTGGCATGCATATAGAACATAGTCAGGAAGAACACATACACTACTTATAAAGTTTTTAATTCCGCGAGTACGGAGTCGCGGGCGATCTCTAGTTACTTATAAACCTGAGTAATCGTCAGTAAATTTGGACTAAATAAACGTAAAATACAATACAACATCTCGTTACAGATATAGAAGCTGATAAAAAAAAACTTTATAAATAAATGAGCTTTATCTAGAGACAGGATGGTCAGAGAAAGCTTTTGATATTGAATATCTGATGGTATTCGTATAAAGGCAGTTTTGTTTCAGCGTTATCGCATTAATCAAAGTAAGTACTATCCGGCATCGTAAGCTCATTGGCATTGTAACAAAACTCGGAAGCTTTTAATGGAACTTTTTTAAGTATCGAAAGTAGATTAGGTTTTATTGTTTTTCTTTACAAGTTTTTTTTGTCGATAATATCCAAAGATGAAAATATAAAATAATACGAACAAAGTTTTGTTGAGTGTTAAGACTTTGAACGGTTTTATTGTAAACATTTTTTTTTCTATTAACAATTTTATGCTTTATTTCAAAATATAAATACCAGAATATTCATGTTGAAAATTTAAAAAGACTATTCACTTACTACTAATGACTTAAATTTATATGACGTTAAACAAAAATTTAATATTTTGGCTCCAAATATTAAAATAGTTAACAGTAATTCCCTTTACCTTTTAGGTTCGCCAATTTTTGATGAATCTATTTCGGAATATATTAATAATTCAATTACTAAATTTCAAAATTCTGCAAACCGTCTACATGAAATTAGTCCACATTATGCTCTTTGCGTCTTAAAATTCTGTCTTTTGGTTCCAAAATTTACGTATGTGCTCCGTTGCTGCTCCTTTTGGAAATCCGCAGATCTTTTATCAAATGTAGACGACTTAATCAAAATTAACTTAGAATCTATTCTTAATATACAGCTGAACGAGCAATCTTGGACCCAAGCATCCCTACCCATCCGTTATGGTGGTTTAGGGATCCGCAAAATTTCTAGTGTTGCTTTACCAGCCTTCCTATCTTCTGTCCATAGTTCAGCTAATCTCATAGGAAAAATTTTAAGGGCATTCCCTTCAAACTTTGAGATTGCTGGCTTGGAAGAAGCTAGAAATGCTTTCTTAATTGCATGCCCCGGTCAAAATTTTCCAGTTTCTCCAAATTTACAGAGGAGCTGGGATGATATCTTTTGCAAATTAACCTACGAAAATCTTTTAAATTATAGTATAGGTTCGGCGCGTGCTAGGCTTTTGGCTGTGGGTACGCATGAGGCTGGTTACTGGCTTCACGCGTACCCTTCGCCACATACAGGAACATTTCTGGAACCTGACACGCTCCGAATCGCAACCTGTCTTCGGCTTGGGGTTCCGGTCTGCGCTCCTCATAGGTGTCCCTGTGGCAGTGATGTCGACAAGCTAGGACATCACGGACTGTCTTGCCAAAAAAGTGCAGGCCGCTTCTCGAGACATGCCGCACTCAACGATATCATACGTCGGTCTCTTGCCACCGTCAACGTGCCAAGTCTACTAGAGCCAACTGGTGTAGCAAGAGACGATGGCAAGAGACCTGACGGTATGAGTTTGATTCCATGGAAGATGGGTCGGGTGCTGGTATGGGATGCAACCTGTTCAGACACGCTGGCCCCTTCCCATCTACATGGAACCAACAACAGAGCGGGTGCGGCTTGTGAAGCGGCTGAAAATGCAAAAGCATGCAAATACAGGGGTCTAGGCTCCGAATATCATTTTGTCCCATTCGGCGTCGAGACCATTGGTCCGTGGGGTCCTAGCGCTTTAAGACTTTTTAAGGACATTTCTAAAAAATTAATCGACATCACAGGGGACCGAAGAGCTGGCAGCTACCTCGGTCAAAGAATTAGTTTAGCTGTACAGAGGGGGAACGCTGCCAGTATCTTCGGGACCTTGCCTAAAGGGACTCCTTTTATTAACATATTTTAGTTAATTATTCGGTTTTTTTTTTTAATTTTATTTTATATCATAGGTTTAAGAGTTTATATATTCATAGAAATAAGGTTGTAAATAAATATTTTAATATGAAGTTACTAATGACTAATATATATGATTTATGTTTTTTTTTTAATTTTAATTAATAAGCGTGTTACCTCAACTCAAATATCTGTAGCTTATTTAGTACTATAATTAAAATTAAACACAATGAACTCTTTAATTAAAGCATTTAATCGCGAACGCTTGGAGCCAGTTTTTGCTAATTCAGCAAACGTGTCGACACCAACACGCGGCTCTTTGAATTTTCAAAACAAAACGCTCTATTTTAAATTGAAAACTGTTATGTCGCTTAAGTTTTTTTTTACGTATTCATTTTTTACATTTAAAAGCTTTATAAATTTAGCTACGGTTTCTAAAATCACGTATGCAACTGTAGTGGGATTTTTTACGTTTTATTTTTTAGTTTTTGTTTCAGTTTTGAACAGTACGAAGTCTAGTTAAAAGTGTGCATTTAAAATTGCAAATGTATTGCCGACGTGAAAGATGAAAGTGAAATATATATAACATAAACAGTGGTACATTTTAACAGTGGTAGAGCCCGCTTTAACATCTTCGCACAAATTGGCCTGGCTCGCCCGGTGAAATACCACGACCACACAGAAGACAGGCGTGAAGTGGAAGCAATTCCGCGTTTCGTCTGATGAGTGTGCGTCCCGGAGGCCTAATTTAGTCCTCTTTCACTTCCCATCCTTTTCTTTATAAGGAAAGGATGGGAAGTGGAAGTGGACTTTCCGGATGAGAGGATGCATGGAAAGGGAAGATATTTTCTTTCTGTGCATCCTCTCCTCCGTCGATTTAAGGTCGGCAACGCATATGCAATTGCGTATGTCTATGGGCAACGGTCACTTCGCTATTTCAGCGATTTCAGGTGGCCGCTTGCTCGTTTGCCACCTTTTGATATAAAAAAAAAAATAAAAAATAAACGAGCAAGCGGCCACCTGTGTTCGCCAGAATGGCGAAGCGACCAAGATGTGTGCAGTTGTAAATACGTTGCTTTAATCGACGGAGAAGAGAACGCACAGTAAGAGATTCCCTTTCGTATGCAATCCTTCATCCACCAATTATAATACAATTCCATTTCCCATCCTTTCCTTATAATAAAAATATAGAGAAGAGAAAATGGACTTATATTCGGTTTCCGGTATGCACAATCATCAGGCTAAACGCGGAATTACTTCCACTTGTCGCCTGTCTTCTGTGTAGCCTCGGTATTACAATAGGCGAGCTGACCCTTCGTGCAAGAGACGTTGCTGGCGTCTACCACTATCAGTAGGTATATAAAAGACTAGCAGTCGCCCGCGACTCCGTCCGCGCGAAATTAAAAAAGACTTAATAAATAGCCTATGTGTTCTTCCACACTATGTTCTACAACTATGCCAAATTTCAGCGAGATCCGTTGAGCCGATCCGGAGATACCTTCGAACACACATCCATCCGTCCATCCATCCATACATATTCCTTTTAAAATATTAGTAAGAAGTAGGATAAGAATAATAGTATGACTGCTGTGAAATGATATGTCAAACTTGTATGAAGCCGCTGTCTATTAAACTGGGACATATCTGCCTGTTCAAAGTTTCTCAATGTTTAAGTCTAAGTTTTGTTAACTTAATGTCACGAGCACTAATTAAATGCCGTCAGTTACGAACTATTATCTAGAGTTACAGTTCTGAATTATGAGAAATACAAAATTTAATCGAGTAATCTGAAGAAAAAAATTGCGACGCCACTATTACACGGTAATATTGTATTGTAATTTAACTTTTTATGAGGAATCAATGAAATTAAAAAAATATATTATATAAAAACCGATGTACGATTTTACCTCAATTGATTGTAGACTCAGACTAGTACTTTAAAGGTCCGCGTCCATTAGCCCACGCTAGACGCACCGCACGCACGGATTAAACTGATTTGCTTTGTCTTGCGATGCTGGCGGCGCGGATGATGGCTGCAGCTATGTAAAATATAAGCAAACTAAAATCCGTTGCGTGCCGTGCGTGCTGTGCCACCGGCGTGGTCTAATGAACGCGTACCTTTACTAATTGATTCACAAAGAAATCAATTGTCCGTTTAATATTGTAGTCTGTCATAACCTTGATTAGACAATAAACGTCAAACGTTTAAATTGATTGATACAATTAAGGTGATGGGTATATGTTCCCCCTCATTCATATCTTGTTAACAATCACCCAGTACGTTCACTATTATTGAATAATCAGTGAAATTGTTTCGCATTCAGGAACTGTTGAAGGACAAGGCACTGTGGATTCCGATTGTCATGATACATGTTTTGACACATATTGTTAACCTTCCATTATCTTTGACAAAGACAGAACAAAGAGTATGTGACAAAAAGACAAAAAACAAAAATCTTACTAATATTATAAATGCGAATGTTTGGATAGACGGATGAATGTTTGTTTGAAAGTGTCTCCAGAACGGCTGTATAAATCTCGCTGAAATTCGGAATATATGTAGATCATAGTCTGGAAGAATACATAGGCTACTTATTATTATTTTTAATTCCGCGCGAACGGAGTCGCGGGTAACAGCTAGTATATTCATAAAGAGACGTACGTTATATTTTTTAACTCAAGCCTTTTAGAAAAATATTGAAATATATCTTGACAACCTTGTTCTCTGAAATTCCTTCGTACAAAAATAACATTGTTATGAAAATAAGGCATTGAATATTTCTTTGATCGCTTCTTAAGTAAACATCTTATAGACATAATCAGTGAACCGGTAAAGTATAGGAAATTGATGTTCTTATCTACATCGAGTAGGATCATCCAATTTATTCAAACTCGTTCCGCTTCTATAGTGAATTATTTAAATATAACAAAGAAATATTCAAGTATTTAGTCGTAGCGGTATTTCCAAACCGCTACGACTTAGGGTCCTTCAAGAAGTGAGCTTATCACCACCTCGGTGTTCCCGCTGCTCGTTTGCCCCCGTCTGTTGTAAAAAAAGTATTATTCTCTTAAACAACTTAAACAGTTATTCCAAAGAGTATTTAAGGTATTATTTAGGTCACAAATTAATTATTTTTTTCTTAAATTGCATGCCAATTACTTTGATTTGGATCTATCCAACTGATAACATATTACATCTTTGGTTAAACGAACTCACAAAGAGACACTCTCAGGAATTACGTTCTCGAATGTTGTATGCAAGATGCTTCATTGCACTCCATTGACATCGTTAATCGATAACGTCACTTGGGATTCAGTATTAATTTTATTAAGTACTAACTGTGGCCTAAGTAAAAAAAACTTAATTTCCAGTCTATATGTTCTTCCAGACTATGTTCTATATGTTTGCCAAATACCATGGAGATCCGTTGAGCCGTTTTGGAAATGCCTTCAAATAAACATTAATCAATCCTATCCATCTATCTAAACTTTCGCATTTATAATATTAGTCAGATAGGTATATTTAAAGTTGTCACATTCATTTTATGTTAAATTAATTACTGCTACATGCCATATAGGTAATTATCTTTTTGTCAAGAAACAAACATGATGTTATTGCCAATAAGTTTTATTTGAATTCATAATACAGTCTTACTTAATTGCCATTTAACAACCTTTATGTGACAGTTACCGTTCTTAGAATTGTTGACATAAAACAATTTATAGTTAAAATGATTTCCTTCTGTAAACAGTTTTTAATACAATTTTTCAATGAAAAACGATATCCGAATGCTTTTTTATTTTCTTTTTAACGTCAAAAATATTTAAGGCATGATGTTAAACTAGTTATAAAACGAGCGGTCACAGAGTTACTGTAATATTTATGAGAGCGGTGAAGTGCATTCGCCGGACGTCTGACATGTAATGGACGGATATATTTATTAAACTGGTAAGTACGCTTTTGGAGTTTAAATTTCTAATTCTTACATCGCCGTTTAATATATTTGCTATTATAATTACAAGAATTACGTTTCATTAGTATGCGAATGACGTGCTTTCGTTACAAAGTCCAGTGTCAGAATGAATGGTGAGGGGACATAAACGTCGACATTTTAGTAAGGCTAATGTTGAGTTAATACACTGACAAATTTTCCGAATTTCTTCCTAATAATACATATATGAAAGAAAATGAGTAGTAGGAGTGTACAAATATTCGAATATTAATATTCTATTCGGAACGAATAGTTTGCAAGTTTGAATATCCTCACCCAATAATAGATGCAAGATGTTGATTGAATATATATACTACATCCATCTTTAGTTTGACATCAGTAATTTCCGAAAATGTTATTGTTATCTCTGTTTCTTCAAACAGAATGAGAGAGATAACGATATGTTTTGAAAAGGTGTTTCGGCAATGGTCACTTAAAGTGATAATAAAATAAAATTCTAACAAGTTGCCTTTGCTTTTTGTATATAGTAAATATATTATTTTCAAAAGGCTCACCGTATCATATCCAAAATTGTTTTGGTCAAGCAACAAATAATCTTACTAATATAATTAGCGCGAATGTTTAAATAGATAGAGTGATTGATAGATGGACGTTATTTGAAGCTCTTCCGAACGACTGCACGAATCTCACTGAAATTTTCCAAAAACGTAGAACACATAGACTGCTTACTAAGTTTTTTATTTAATAAACCTCGAAAGGAGTCGCGGGCAACAGCTAGTATATCAAACGTAGTTCAAAATAAAAATAATTACATATCAAACATTGACATAAAAAAAACGTTCAATTCTATCAGATGATTTCCACTGAGATTGTGCATCAGAATAGTTTCCAGGAATTAAACCTCAGAATTATGTGCTCGCTGCAATGGAGTATTCACGTAGAAATTGCATCCATGAGCCTGGCTGTGCAATCCAGAGCCAAGGTACAAAGAAAATCCTAATTGGATTTTTAAATGCTAACTGAAAGCCAAAAACAATTTAGACGAGAGACAAGTTCAAATTACTTTATCGTACGGGGATATTTTACGTTGATTTTTAATTAATAAAAAGGAATAAATACTTTGAATAAAACGTGATTAAAG